CATCCAGACATTCTAATCTAATTCGCGAACTTGTTTGAAGAACCAAATTAGCGAGAGATCAGTTATCAAGATTAAAAGATCCAGGATCTGCCAAATAATCTTAGATCATTTAAGCGAGGTACGAAGAACGGACCCCTGGGGTCCGTTCTTCGTACGTGGATTACTCAGTTAGCTGGATTTGGATGTTGACGATTTGACACGATCCAGGATCGTTTCGTTCTTCAAAGCTGATCCGAGAGTTGTTGTCATGGCAACAGATCTGCTAGGTCAAACCTGATCGGGAGCAGGTTCAAATCATATAAACAGGATTAGATCGGCTCAGTTCAAGCAAAGATAATACAGAAAGTATGTACCGAGTTCTGATATTTTCTTACAGTAAAAGTTATATACACTTGGGAAAATAGTAAATATTTTTTAACTATATATATAAAAGTTATAGTCATTAATAAAATAAATAAAGTTATACATATTAATAAAACGTATGCAATCTGCACCCTCGAAATGAACAAAGACTGCCATCTGGTGGTGCAAAGAGAAAACTTATTGGTATGAACTTTTTAGATCGCTTAGAAATTGTGTATAATAGAAATGCACAATATGTGACTTTTTTTAAAGCAATAATACATTTATGCAGTCATAAACATGTTTTGATAGTTAATATGCCAGTGATTGATGCTTCATAAAAGTTGCAGACACCTTTACCAATATGAAAATGCTTTTGTAAACAACCAGTTATTCTTTACACCGATTAAAAAACGGATACTATTAGGCTATAAAGAAAATCTTTTCTAAATGTAGAACTAAATACATTGATTTGCATTGAAATGCATGATGAATACTCTTGTCTTGACAAATGAAAGTGTAAAGCCTGCAGCTCACAACAAATGTGGAAAGTTCTTGCATGTCATATTAAACAAACCGTTTACTGCTAATTTGATGTAATTTTGCTCACATGGATAATTGAATATTACTCAGATGATGTCATTACGCTGCTGTGCCGTCAGCCAATCATTGCATTGCTGATCATGATTTCGAGGATCGATAGATCAGTCCTTCACAACACACGCAGCGATCTCAGATCAGTTCATCCAGACATTCTAATCTAATTCGCGAACTTGTTTGAAGAACCAAATTAGCGAGAGATCAGTTATCAAGATTAAAAGATCCAGGATCTGCCAAATAATCTTAGATCATTTAAGCGAGGTACGAAGAACGGACCCCTGGGGTCCGTTCTTCGTACGTGGATTACTCAGTTAGCTGGATTTGGATGTTGACGATTTGACACGATCCAGGATCGTTTCGTTCTTCAAAGCTGATCCGAGAGTTGTTGTCATGGCAACAGATCTGCTAGGTCAAACCTGATCGGGAGCAGGTTCAAATCATATAAACAGGATTAGATCGGCTCAGTTCAAGCAAAGATAATACAGAAAGTATGTACCGAGTTCTGATATTTTCTTACAGTAAAAGTTATATACACTTGGGAAAATAGTAAATATTTTTTAACTATATATATAAAAGTTATAGTCATTAATAAAATAAATAAAGTTATACATATTAATAAAACGTATGCAATCTGCACCCTCGAAATGAAAGTACAAAGACTGCCACCTGGTGTTGCAAAGAGAAAACTTATTGATATGAACTTTTTAGATCGCTTTAGTACAAATTGTGTACAATAGAAATGCACAATATGTGACTTTTTTTTAAAAGCAATAATACATTTATGCAGTCATAAACATGTTTTGACAGTTAATATGCCAGTGATTTGATGCTTCACAAAAGTTGCAGACGCCTTTAACAATATCAAAATGCTTTTGGAAACAACCAGTTATTCTTTACACCGATTAAAAAACGGTTACTATAATAAAGAAAATCTTTTCTAAATGAAGAACTAAATACATTGATTTGCATTGAAATACATGATGAATACTCTTGTCTTGACAAATGAAAGTGTAAAGCCTGCAGCTCACAACAAATGTGAAGTTACTGCGTGTCATATTTAACAAGCCGTTTACTGCTAATTTTATGTAAATTTGCTCACATGGATAATTGAATATTAATCAGATGATGTCATTACGCTGCTGTGCCGTCAGCCAATCGTTGCATTGCTGATCATGATTTCGAGGATCGATAGATCTGTCCTTCACAACAAACGCAGCGATCTCAGATCAGTTCATCCAGATATTCTAATCTGATTCGCGAACTTGTTTGAAGAACCAAATTAGCGAGAGATCAGTTATCAAGATTAAAATATCCAGGATCTGCCAAATCATCTTAGATCATTTAAGCGAGGTACGAAGAACGGACCCCTAGTTGTGCTCACAGAATGAAAAAAATAAATAAAATCAATCGCTTGAAAGAATGAGCCCACAGTTACACATTTACTGTGACAACCCGAAACAAATAATCGTGAGGAAAAATAGCTTAAACCTAATACAATTGTATGAATATGAAACAACTGCATAAAAGTGAAAAATAAATAAATAAAAAATAAATAGTTTTTTTTATATATTAATGTGCTGTAATTTAAGAAAATACATGTAATTACAACAATACCCGCAAATAAAGAAAATATCTTCATCGATTTGACAGCATGCATGATGTTTTTGGGTCCATTTAAAATATTCCCATTAAGTGTCATGCTATTTGCATGTGTTGTGAGAATTTGCAGCACGTTTTCTTAATGTATTCACGTTGTGAGGATTTGAAACACTTTTTAGAGACATAAGATCTTTTCCTAATTTGATGGTGTTTTTTGTAATTGCTTGTTTTTTTCTTAAATTGCTTAAATAATATCAGGGTGTCCACTGAATCTTAAAAGGTCTTAAAATGTTTTAAATTTAAAAACTATATTAGACCTTAAAAAGGCTTAAATTAACTGAAATATTTTGTTGTAGGTCTTAAATCATTTTAAACTGGTCTTAAGTTACTTTTAACATGTAAAGCTACTCACTTCGGCCAAAATTTATCCAATAACCAACAATACATCTTAATAAAACTTGTTTTTTATTGCAGCTGTTAGAAATTTTTAAAGCAAATTTTTTTCAAATTAAATTTTCCAAATTTCTAAAATTCTAAATTTTCACTTGACATTGGTGGGGTGGGTGAATCCCCCCCCCCCCCCCCCCATCATATGCTATTATTTATTTAACTGCTATTAAAGCACACTATTAATTAATCTTCTCTTCATACAGTTTATTAAGTTTTAGGCCTGTAGCCAAGGGTGGTTCGGAGGGTTCAAAAGACCAAAAGTTGGATTATTTTTATTATTTTTTATTTTTTCTTATTATTCAAATGGCCAAATTCTGACTAAAGAAAGTTGAATGTTCTGGCCAGTTTGTTATTTGCCTGTAGGCTTCAGTGTTTAATTTAAAACGAGTTTTATCAGATTTCTAAAAAAAATTAAAATGTAATGATAGATTATATTAAATTTGTACTTTAAAAATAAGCATCTTTTCATATTTTTAATTCAAAATTTTTATTATTTATAAAACTGTGATTTCAAATGTACAGTTTAAATGCACATTTGTAAATAAACACTTAAAATGGTAAAATAGAATGGTAAGCAATTTGACATGGTTAAATTTCTTTTAGTAGAAATAGAAATAAGGTGAATAACTGCTAAAAGGTTCAGTTTTTCTGAAAAAAAAAACACCACTGTTAATAAGCTGGCTACAGGCCTGATAGTGTAATGTTTAAAAAAAGTTTATTAACTGATAAAGAGATATCATATATCAGTATCACTGTATGCCTATACACAGGCTGATTTTTTTCTGACAAATTGTTTCAACTGAAATTGGACATGATACTTTGTTTTTATTGTTCATTTATTCGTTTTGCTGGAAATTAAATCTGAATTTAGAAATAGTTTTGAAACAAATCTTTGTGCTTAACAAACAAAATTAAATATGTATGCTAGCGGATGTCTTCAGTGGAATGCTTACAACACCGTTTCCTTATCCACGAGGGTAAAGGAGTAAAAATAAAGTAAAGAGAAATTGAAGAGGTCGAATGCAGGAGGATTATTCTTTATTCTCGCACTGCAGATGCTCTCTTTAACTGTTTTCTCATTAGTGAAGCGTTTAGTTCTTCCACTTACAAGGTCCGCCATGTAAATAGCAATTGTGCCATGGCACGACGCAACGGACGCTTTAGGGGAATGGGAGATGAGACTCTGATTGATTTAAAACACACCCATATCTCATTAAGAGAATAAACACAACCCTTTTAGACCATGCGTAAGGGCACAGAGCGTATTTTTCCATCCCTAAATTAGCAAAAGTGGATTCAGACACGCCCTTACTGCCTTTGCGCCATGCACTTTAGACTTGACATCTAGATCTTTAAAATAGAGCCTTTGGTCTTTACCCCTGTGTAAGTCTCAAATTTTATACTGAATAGTCTTAAAACAAGTGCATGTAAAAACACATTTTTAAAACAATGTTTTTGTCTTTTAATGTCAATTACTAAAAACAACTTCAAAATATTAATGTTTGGATTTTATTACAGTTAAAGTAAGAGAATATAAAAATAATTTACATTATTTTGATTAAAATTTTATAAAATTATTTTTTCACACTATAAAAATCTCTTTTTCTTTCCCTCAAGTAACATTCTGAACACATGAGCTGTACAGCACAGCAGTTTTTGTGGTTTGTGAATAAAGGCCATTTATTTCAAGCCAGACAGACCTATACAGTCCCATGTGACCCATTACAACAGAAGCTGGATTGTCGTGTGTGTGTATTTGTGTGTTTGTGCATTATGCTGGGGATTTACAGTCAGTGTGTGTATGTGGTCATTTAAGTTTTAAGTGTTTTCCTTCAAGAATAAATCTAAACAAACATGATGGCTGTAAATGTGTGTGCTTCATCCTTCTTTCAGGGTTTCTTTCAGAGTTAATTTCTCTTTTTTTTTTGGTGGGTTTATTTTTTGGTGAGTCTGCAGGGGCAGTCATGGTGTGTTCATCGATTCATCTTTTGTTTGTTGTTGTTTTGAAGGGTGAAGATGCCTTTTCACCATGTGAGAGCAGGGCTGCTCTACACAGACAACTATCTGAGCACGTCTCTGTCTGAAACCAGCGAAGAGCAGCTTGCCAACATCTCTACAGAGGAACTCGGCGGTGAGTCTGGTCTGTGTGTGTGTAAATGACTGATGTCTGTCTCAGTGTCAATGTCTGCAAGTTCAAAGAATATATGCTTAGAATGAACTGAAAGTCAGCGAGAACTTGATGTTCTTATGGACTTCAGTATTGCAGTATTTCTTTTGCTGTATGAAATGGAATATTGAATAGAGGGTGGGCTTACAAAACAAGCAACAGCTTAATTATTTACATGAAGATATAGCAACCTCATCTAAAAAAAGTACATTTTTCCAGTTTTTTTTATTTCTGTTGTGATGAACCAGAAGTCATTGGATCCATTTGCAAGCTTTATTAAACACACACATACAATGCAACAATAAAGGGACAAACCAGGAATCAGGTTGTGAGCAAGCAGAGTTCAGGGCAGGCAGATAACGTTCACAGTCGGTGTAACAGGCTTGAATTCGGGGCAGGCAGATGTCCTTTTAGTTGGTAAATCGGGCAAGGGTTCAGAACACAAATCAATCAGAATAACAATGGGAAAACGCTCGGTGATGACTGCAGGGCAAATTAAGACTTCGCACTAAACATTGGCGTGAGTGTGGTTTATATGCGCTGGGATGATGAGAGGCCCCTGAGCCGCAATCAGTGACAGGCAGAAGGGCTTATGGGAGTTTGAGTCCGTGAGTCTGATTAGTATTCAGGTGATGGCTCCCTCTGGTGGTGCACAAGAGGATTGCCATCGCCCTCATATATAACAGAACCCCCCCCCCCCCCCCCCCCCCCCAAACGGCTCCTGAAGCGAGAATGCACTTGACGCCGGGGTCTACCACGCTGTCGGGGGGCTGGTTTCTCTGGGAACCTTCAATGAAACTCTTCAGTAAGAGTTGGGTCTAGAATATCTCTAGCATTTACCCAGGATCGTTCAGACCAGATACGTTCGACCAGATACCCCTCCCAGTTCACCAAATACTGGAGGGCACCACCCCGGCGTCGAGAATCCAGCAGTGTGCCTGATTCCAAACCTCCTCACTCCTTTGTAGCCAATCCGTGACAGCTGATAACTCAGTGGGTTCTCCAGATCATGGAAACAAAGGTGGTTGGTAACCCAGAATGCATTTGAATGGAGTAATACCTGTAGCTGGTTTTATCAATGAGTTCTGTGCATACTCCGCCCACATGAGATAACGGCTTCATACATGCTGCTGCTGATGACAGTAAGAACGAAGAAAGCGAATCACTTCTTGATTTAATCCTTCCGTTTGACCGTTAGATTGAGGATGATACCCTGAAGTGAGGCTAACGTTGATATTGAGGTTCTTGCAGAGAGCTGTCCATACCCGAGAAGTGAACTGCAATCCACGATCTGACACAATATCGTCAGGTAAACCAAAGATTTGAAACGCATGATTACACAGAGCCTCTGCTGTCTCAAAAGCGGAGGGTAACTTAGGCAGTGGAATCAGCCGACAGGCCTTGGAGAAACGATCGACTACTGTCAAAATGACAGTGTTGTTCTGGGAAACAGAAAGATCGGTAATGAAGTCCACTGCTACGTGGGACCATGGACGTTGAGGGGTCGGTTAAGGTTGTAATAAACCAGCAGGGGTTTGATGAGAAGCCTTAGTGGTTTGGCTTTTTTTGACTATTTCCTTCATTGCCATGATGCCCGGATGACCAGAGCTGGGAGTGTCGTGAACGTGCGTGAGTAGTCGTGAGCGTATATCATTCGCACAAAGGTAAGGTTATCGGGACAATCTGCTGGAGGAGGATTCTCTCGATTAGCTTCTTGAATTTCCGTAAGAATGTCTCACTGAACCGGAGCCAATAATAGCTTGGTAGGGATGATTGTTTCTTCACTGATAGTGGGTTTATCTTCAGTTAGCCTGGAGAGTACATCTGCCTTATCATTCTTGCTCCCTGGTCTGTTTGTGACTATGAAATTGAATCTTGTAAAGAATAAAGCCCAACGAGCTTGCCTGGGATTTAGACGTTTAGCAGAGTAGAGATATTTTAGATTCTTGTGATCTGTCAGAATGGTGAATTGGTGGGTTGCCCCTTCCAGCCAGTGTCACCACTCTTCAAGGGCTAATTTCATGGCCAATGATTCGCGATTTCCAACATCATAATTTCGTTCTGCGCTGGTCAACTTACGGGAAAAAAGGCGCATGGATACATTTTTGGTGGTTGACCTTGGCGTTGGGATAACACCGCCCCGACTCCTGTGTTGGATGCATCCACTTCCACGACAAAAGGCAGGTCTGGATTGGGACGGCAGAGAATGGGAGCAGTGGTGAATCGTGTTTTTAGTTCGGTGAAAGCTTGACGTGCTTTGGGGGACCAGTATAGCTTGGTTGTGCTTCGCTTAGTCATAGCGGTTAATGGGGCTGCTACGGAGCTTAAACCTCTGATAAATCGTCTGTAAAAGTTGGCAAAGCCCAGAAATTGCTGTAACTCCTTGAGATTTTGAGGTAATGGCCATTGTTGTACTGCCTGCACTTACATATCATCCATATTGATTCCCTCCGCGCTGATGACATAGCCCAGAAAAGTGATCTGTGTCTGATAAAACTTTTTCTGATAAAAATTTTTCAAGTTTGGCATAGAGTTGGGGTTGAATCATGCGCTGTAATACTTTACGTACATGCATGACATGTTCTTCCATTGTGTTAGAGTAAATGAGAATGTCATCGATGTAGATGATTACCCAGCGATCCAACATATCCCAAAGACAACATTCATAAAGGACTAGAACACAGAAGGACAGTTTGCCAAGCCGAAGGGCATTACCGTGTACTCATAGTGCCCCTAGTGGTAGAGTTTTCAAGGTATCCTCGACCCAACTGGTTTGTGCGGCGAGAACGCAAAAGGATAGCGCATATTCTGCAGCGGTGTTTCGTCCTTGTGTGAGAGCAAGTAGTTGTTCTCCCGGGCTTTACCCATCAGCAGGATGTTCAAACACTTCACGGAACTGCTTAAGGAAATTTTCAAAAGTGGGATAATTACTTTCATCATCCTTCCATATCACTGCATCCCATTCCAACGCTTTACCCGTCAACAGATTGCATACAAAGGCCACCCGACTGGTATCAGTGGGATATAATGCGGGTTGTTAACAAACAGCTTGTTGGGTATTGCCCAATTTAGAATGCCAGTTCTTTAAATGTTGCTGACCACTTCAGCACTCTGGTTAAGGAGTATGAGTCAGGAGATAATTGCAATCTTTTATTTATGAGCAGGGAGGTAGTTTCCTGTAATAAACAATAAGTATACGTAAATAATAAAATATCAAACACGAAAATATATATGTACTGACACAATAAATATCCTAAACTAAACAACACAGTATTTGCAGCTCTCTTAAAGTGGAGTCAATAGACTAATGTATGCTGAATGTAAACACAATATAAATAGACATCAATGACTAAAGCTGCATTATATAAAGGGCATGTGACAGCATAAGGCATAACAAATGTAGAATATAGTAAACTGAATCATAATAAACAAACGAGATCTCAACGATGACATCGGGATTAGCCGCGATGCTGATGGTAGCAGCACTTTCACTTTTGGTTTATACGGAAACTAATGCTCGCGGCCGATCGCGGGTCATTAACAACATCAAGCACTTAACATCAATCATACAAGGGTAATTACAAACATGATATGAAGGAACAAACTCACTTGGCAATAACTTTACCCTGTACTTCACAATATCTCATGGATGGCAATCGCGTCTCACTCAAATGAGTCAGCACATTCAACTTCTCATATATGGACTCAAATATGCATCCTCCGGAAGTTAAATCCTACATTCATAATATAAGCCCTTTACAGAACACTCAGTAAATCGAGTTACAGCCATAATATAAAGAATTCAGAACAGCCGCCCCCACATTTGAACAGCAAATGTGCAAGTCAAGAGAATTCTTTAGGAGTCTTTACTGTCATCTTGAAAGGCTGGCAACTGAATGAGCCGGGCTACTGGCCTAGTGTACACTTTACCTTGAACATTTATGTTTGCAGATCTTACACAACCATCATCACTGATAACAGTCTTGGCTACTTTGCCAATGGGCCACTGAGCCCTGGGCAATTGTGGGTCAACAATCAAAACCACTGAACCCACTTTTAGATTGTCGGATGAAGTTTGCCACTTTTGGCGGGTTTGTAGTGTGGGCAAGTAATTCCTTGTAAACTGAGTCCGGAACTGATCCACAAGATTTTGACAATGGCGCCATCTGCGCCAAGTCACTTGTGGGAGTGACGCATCCCGCCGCCCCATGAGGAGAAGGTTTGGTGTAATAGGATCTGGATCTGCAATATCCGTGGAGACATATCCAAGCGGTTTTGAGTTCAAAATGCCCTCTACCTCTACTAATACAGTAGTGAGGACATCTTCTGAGACAGACTGGCCACCAACTGCTGCCCGTAGAGCAGTCTTTATGGAACGAACCTCTCGTTCCCAAGTGCCACCGAAATGCGGTGCATGAGGAGGGTTGAACTTAAATGTGATCTGATGATCAGCTAGCCGCTCTTTTAATGGGGATTCCATGGCAGCAAAGGCTTCTCTTAGCTCTCGATCAGCCCCACGGAAGTTTGTACCACAATCTGACCTAAGCTTCTTTGATCTGCCACGTCTGGCAATGAATCGTCGCAAAGCAAGCAAGAAGGCATCCACATCCATGGAGTTGAGGAGCTCAATGTGAACCGCTCTTGTTGTCAGACATTTAAAAATGACTCCCCAACGTTTCTCCACTCGTCTGCCTATTTTTACCTGATGTGGACCAAAACAGTCTACTCCAGTAGAGTAGAATGGTGGGCAAAGAATCCTGAGCCGCTCTGGTGGTAGGTCTGCCATTTTTGGTACTTTAGGCTGAGCTCTCCATCGTTGGCATGATGAACATTTAAGCTGGTGATGTTTAACAGCTTGCCGCCCCCTCAAGATCCAATATTGTCTCCGAAGTTCGGCGTACACTCTTTCTGTACCTGGGTGGAGCAGGCGCTCATCAAACTCTTTGATGAGAAGCTTTGTGGTT